CATTGGATGCTGACCACCACTGTTTAAGCCGACTTGTTTAGCTGAAGGCTTACGGTCAAGCATCCCCGCCATTTGGTACTCCGTCGTGTCACGTGCGTGCACGATTCCTAGCTAGCTAAGCATTCATCTCTACCTGCGATTTTGTCCCGAAATATACTACGTACTTTGGACGACAAAATCTGGTCTTTTGCTTTATCTTTGGTACTCGAAGAACGAACACTATAGAAGTTGTTGGTATAAGATCTTGCGTCAGTATAATCCGTACAACTCGCGAACGTCGATACCCGCAGTCTCTAAACTGGTGAGCCCGTCAACCACAAAACTGGTGAGCCCAATCACGAACTACATCTTCAATTCACACGCAGATAAACCCGGTGATTTCGTTCCTTTTTGTGTTTATTCTTGTACTATATTGTTATCGGCATACTTTTCGTCATAAGTGATCCTAGCCCCAAGGTTATTCAGATTCGCTCAACCGCCAAAACAATCCAGCTAGTACCGTATTGGCCAGATAATGCTGGAACGTGGTTTCAGATTGCTGAGTCTGATTTTTGTGAACATGGCATAACTGATCAACGTTCACAGTTCCTTGCAGTTATTCGCGCCCTACCGCGGGAATTCAGCAGGTGCGTAACTCTGCAGATGTCGGTAAGTAACTCGTACGAGTTGCTCAAAGCATCCATCCTCAAGAGAAACGTTCTCACAGATCGACAACGTCTGGATGAGTTATTTCGTAACACCGAGTTAGGAGATCAGTCAGCCGTGAGCATGCTGGCAAGAATGAAAGAGATCATTGGCCAAAGTCAGTTCGATGAAGGACTGTTTAGAGAACTATTTTTATCCAAACTGCCACAGTCAGTTCAGACTGTACTTGTGACACTTCAGGGTGTTCTCATGGATGATTTAGCTGTCTCTGCAGATAGAATTCTAGAGATAACGAAACGGCCAGTTACCGAAGTATACTCTGTTACCGAACAGACTTCGAAGAAGGATTCTGCAATGATAGAGTTAATCAACTCCGTCCAGCAGATGCTTAGGTCAAACAAGCCTAGCAATTCCTCCTAACGTCGTTCTAAATCCCCTCAACGGCAAAGCGCACGTGGACGATCTAAGTCCAACACACGCTCTCTCAAAAATCCTGACTGGTGTTGGTATCACAACACCTATGGCAAGGAAGCGAAATGTTGTCGAAAACCTTGTGATTTCGGCAAAGCCTCCAAGTCTGTGGGAAACTATCCCGCCGGCACGCGTTAGCGGCAACCGTCGCCGGTGGCACTAGCCGCTTACTTTACATCCATGATGTAATTAGCCAGACTAGATATCTAGTCGACACAGGCGCCGAAGTCAGCGTCCTTCCTGCTACAGCAGCAGATCGACAGAAGGATCCTAACTTCAACCTACAGGCTGCAAATGGAAAACCAATTGCAACCTATGGTCGGAAATACGTCTATCTGAACGTAGGTTTACGCAAACCTATTCAGTGGATTTTCCTAATCGCTGACGTCACAATGCCCATCATCGGCACGGACCTACTTAATCATCATGATTTGCTCGTAGACGTCCGCCGTAAACGACTAATTGACAACACTACTAGTTTGTCTATCAAAGGCATAACTTACGTAGGCCCCAGCTTGTCAATCGTTAAGATGAAAGCGATCCTCGATCCAACTTTTCAACCGATTGTTGACAAATATCCGGAACTGAATTGCCCATCTAACGATCTACCGTGTATAACCAGCAATGTTATGCACCACATCATAACCTCAGGACAGCCCGTGACATCTAAAGCACGACGACTGGCCCCTGATAAACTGAGAATTGCCAGAAACGAATTCGATCATATGCTCACCCTTGGCATCATTCGACCATCGAATAGTCCATGGGCATCCCCACTGCATATGGTACCGAAAAAGGATAGTAACGATTGGCGACCCACTGGTGATTACCGGCGAGTGAACGCTAAAACAACTCCTGATTGCTACCCTTTGCCTCACATACACGACTTGACGGCAACGTTATCTGGAGCATCTATATTCTCCAAAATCGACTTGGTTAAAGCATATAACCAAATCCCCATGGCAACGGAAGATATTCCGAAAACGGCTATCATCACGCCTTTCGGACTTTTTGAATTCCTACGTATGCCATTCGGCCTCCGGAATGCGGCACAAACATTCCAACGCTTCATCAACGAAGTATTTCGCGGTCTCGACTTTGTATACGCATACTTAGACGACTGCCTCATTGCCAGTCCAGATAAGGAAACTCACCTTAGACACTTGGACTTGGCATTTGAAAGGTTACGCCAACATGGTGTTACCATCAATATACAGAAGTGTCAGATAGGTGTTGACTCACTCGATTTTCTGGGTCACACTATTGACTGTCAGGGCATACGCCCACTGGCTACCAAAGTCGAAGCAATACTGAACTTTCCGGAGCCAAAGACAGTAAAATGCCTTCGCACTTTTAACGGCTTGGTAAGTTATTACCGACGTTTTATTCCTAATTGTGCTTCGCTAATTCAGCCATTAACCGATCTCCTTCGAGGGAACAACAAGGCTATCGAACTCGACACGTCTGCTCGACATGCTTTTACTCAGGTAAAGAAAGCTATTGCAGATGTCACCCTTCTTATGTATCAGGATCCAACGGCACCGTTGAGTATCTCGGTTGATGCATCAGACACTGCAATCGGCGCAGTTCTGCAACAACTAGTTAACAACGAGTGGCAACCACTCGCCTTTTTCTCGAGGCGCCTTCAAGTAGCTGAAACGAAGTACAGCACATTCGGAAGGGAACTTCTAGCTATGTACTGTGCTCTACGTCATTTTCGACATTCAGTTGAGGGTCGTGAATTCATCATTTTCACTGACCACAAACCTCTGACGTACTCTCTGAACTCAACTTCAGATAAGTATTCACCCAGGGAATCGCGACAACTAGATTACGTTTCACAGTTTACATCAGATATTCGCCATGTTTCCGGAGTGAACAACACTGTGGCAGATGCCTTGTCACGTATTTGTTCTTTCACCGAAATCGACGGCATAGACCTTGTAAAACTGGCTCGTCTTCAAAAAGAAGATATTGAGCTTCAGCGTGAGTTGTCGAAAACAACTCTACAACTAGCCAAGAAACCCTTAGGTATAGGAAAGGATACTATTCTGTGTGACATTTCCACTAGTACTCCTCGCCCCATCGTGCCTAAAAGTTATCGCCGTAACGTCTTCAATACGTTGCATGGCTTATCCCATCCAGGTATTCGAACTACTGTCAAACTCGTAACTAGTAGGTTTTGCTGGCCTGGTATTAACAAGGAAGTAAGGGAATGGGCACAGACGTGTTTAGCTTGCCAAAAGTGCAAGGTAATAAGACACACTAAAAGCCCCCTTGGCACTTTTCTTATCCCTGATGCCCGTTTCGAACACGTCCATATAGATTTAGTTGGCCCCCTTCCAGAATCTCATGGATACACCTATATGTTAACCTGCATCGATCGCTTCACACGATGGCCTGAAGCAGTACCCATCAAGGATATATCTGCTGAAACTGTCGCACGCGTCTTTGTAGAGAGATGGATCGCCAACTTTGGATGCCCATCTTCCATAACAACTGATCGTGGGCGGCAATTCGAAAGCGGTTTATTCTTCGCTTTGACTAAAATCCTTGGTTGCATGCGTTTTCGAACAACAGCCTACCATCCTCAAGCGAATGGTATGGTAGAACGTCTACACAGACAGTTGAAAGCTGGTTTATCAGCTGCAAATAACACCCATTGGACTGAATCCCTTCCGTTAGTTCTCCTAGGGATACGAAACGCCTTAAAAACCGATGCTGGTTGTACCACCTCTGAGCTAGTATATGGCACAACACTACGACTGCCAGGTGATTTTGTTTCTCCCTCGAGCTTCCCACCAGTGGTAGATCACTCCTCATACGTCAGCAGGCTTACAAACGCTATGCGTTCAGTTAAACCTGCTCCCCTCCGACCACAGTCCATTGATGTTTTCGTTCACCCTTGTTTAAAAACTTCTTCACATGTATTTGTTCGTCGCGACTCGGTACGTCGTCCTCTAGAACCCCCATATGACGGACCATATAAAGTGATTAAACGTACTGATAAATTCTTCGTTTTAGACAAAAAAGGCCGCGAAGACACCGTCAGTATCGACCGTCTCAAACCGGCTTACTTGGAAGGTAATCCTATTAGCCTGGAGCTTAACGTACCCGATAATTCACAAGTAATTGAATCTACTTCAGTCTTCGAAGAACTCCCTAGCACGGCGAAAGCCACTGAACCTTCGGTCGATCACTCTAAAAAAACGCGTTCTGGACGTCACGTTAGATTCCCAGAATACCTTCACACCTATCTCACATAACTGAGTGACACATCAATTCTTTTTATGTTGCGTCATTTAACACAAGTAAATGATATTTTTCCTATAACCGTACATAAAATTATATAAGATGTATATATTTTTTCCCGATATTTTGAACTTTACATTATTTTACTGTATAGTAGATGCATGTCATATTTTTTTTTGGTAAAAAAAACGCTTATTTGGTACATTTTTCTTGACAAGGTTCTCAGCATTCTTGTTTTCTTTTCCAGGTGCAACGGGCACTGGACAGGAGACAAACGAAGCACGGGATCCAACGAACAACACTGAGAAAGCTATGTACAGACACCCTATTAGCATAGGCAGACAGACCAGCAGGCTCTCAATCAAGCCGCTCGGAAGATTTTTTTCACCCATAAGGGAACCATCGAGATTTTTTTACTTCCGGCTGGTCATGTCTTAGGGTCCTCACAAACCCACTAGGGGGGGAGTGAGCTGTAGCGGTAAATAATTCCCCAAAATTATTAACCACAGCAATCATCACTCAACATTGGATGCTGACCATCACTGTTTAAGTCGACTTGTTTAGCTGAAGGCTTACGGTCAAGCATCCCCGCCATTTGGTGCTCCGTCGTGTCACGTGCGTGCACGATTACTAGCTAGCTAAGCATTCATTCCTACCCGCGATTTGGTCCCAAAATATATATCGTATTTGGACGACAAAATCTGGTCTTTTGCTTTACCATTTGGTACTCGAAGAACGAACACTATAGTGGTTGTTGGTATAAGATCTTGCGTTAGTATAATCCGTACAACTCGCGAACGTTCGATACCAGCCCCCTAAAGTATGAATAATATACATATATATCGGTAATAATGATAATAATAATAAGTGCAGTTAAAGCTGTCAGGAGAGTAAGACGGGAGAGAATGTAAAGAAGTAAAACGTCAAGTTTAATTGTCTACTCCTTAATGGTGTATGCGATTTTAAGGGGATAGGCCATTTGGATGCAGTCCTTGTGTCGCTGCGTGGTTGTCCAACCTTCGCGTCAACAGACGGTGCCATAGCTACATCTGCCGGTAAGGTATTCCAGGGACGGCAAACCCGCAGTGAAAAGAAGTGGGGGCGCATCCGGGTCCTTGCCCTTTGATGAGCCATCCTTCTAGGATTTCCACGAGGGAGCCTATATCTACTCAATGGTAGAACTCCTTTGTTTGGGTGATTCTGGTCATTCGTTATTTTGCAAGCAGTAATCAAATCCTCCCTAAGCCGACGGTAGCTAAGTGTGAATAGGCCTAATTTCTCTAGCCTTTCATTATATGGTTTATTCCAGAGACCAACCACTCCTTTTGTTACCCGTTTCTGGACTATTTCCAAGACGTTGTCATCTCTTCTAAGCAGTGGGGGTGCAATAATATTATGTACATCAAGGTGTGGTCTGACGTATGTTTTGTACAACCTTAGAAAGAGCCCAGGAGTGAGTGCACCTAACTGTCTATGTGTTAAGTGTATCACCGCATATGCCCTCGCTACATCCCCGTGTAATTTACGCTTGTGTCCATTTTCTCCGTTGGAACTGGACCTAAGTCACGTTCCGACGTTATGCAGGACAAGCTTTCATTGCACAGGGTGTAACTTGCATTCTGCAGTCTGCAG